CACAGGGGATACATAGGCTATTGGAAATAGGGAAGGACACAAATACAGATGAGGCACAAATTGACAAGTGGGATATATTGACGATAAAACACCCGTGTAGACAGAAAGAATTCGCCAATAGAGTAATGAGAGAGTGCACAGACTGGGAAAACATCTTTAGCAATGACACATCAGACAAAGTCCTTATTACTAAAATCTACAGTACTCTGCTAGCTTTCCCAAAGGAAAAAAAATGAATTTCCCACTGAGGAGGTGGGCAAAGGACCTGAACAGAAGTTTCACAAAGGCAGAAGTCCGAATGGCCAATAAACATGAGAAAATGTTCCTGATCATTAGCCATACAAGAAATGCAAATTAAATTAACTATGAGATACCACCTAACATCCTCAAAGATAGCCCAATTCAAAAAATCAGAGAGTAACAAGTGTTGGAGTGACTGTGGTGAGATAGGAACCCTTGTCCACTGCTGAGGGACCTGAAAGTATGTATAGCCACTATGGAAATAGATTTGGCAATATCTAAAACAGATGGAAATTGAGCTACCATTTGACCCAGCAATCCTCCTACTAGGTATACACCCAGAAGAAGCAAGAAGCAAACCAAGGCCAGACATCTGTGCTCCAATGTTCATTATGGCACAGTTCACATCACAAGCAGTTGGAAACAACCCAAATTTCCATCAGCAGACAAATGGATTAGAAAACTGTGGTACATATGAACAAAGGAGTACTAAACATCCCTAAAAAGCAGTGATGAATGCATGAAGCACATATTCCCATGGGAAGAATTGGAGAAAATAATGCTAAGCAAAGTAAGCCAAGCACAAAAGGACAAGTACAACATGAGTCCACTGAGGTAAGCTTAAAAATGTAAAAGTGGCATGGGTGAAAAGCTACTGTATACATACATTCCTTGTTTGAGATCCAGGTACTATGTCAGGGGCCAGACCCAATCCAAAGATACATATGACAGCCAACTAGAAAGGTGGGGGAAAGAAAGAAAGTAAAAAAAAAAAACAAGCCCCCAAAAAGGCATGGGTAGCAGAGGAACAAGGCACTAACCCACTCAAGGGGAGGGTGTTTTTATATCTCCACAGGAGAGAAAGAGAGGGACCAGACTTAAACCCAGTACATCAAGACATGCATGCAACATACCAGCATGAAGCGGGGAACCAATAATGAGGTTTGTGGGGCTGGCCTCAAACCCAACTACATGCACCCCACCCACTCTCCCCAGAATAATTCACTTTACAGGACAGCACTGAAGCTACAGCTCAGGGAGGGGTGCTTCTGATCAGAGCACAAAGGAGCAAATGAGGAGGAAAGGAGAGAGAATGAAACACATCCTGGCCCACCAAGCTGCGAGGATGATATTCCTGCTCAGAGCAGCCAATGCACAG